AATTGGATGGAATAAATTTCAGTTTCATGGTCATGGCACCATAATTGAGCTTAAAAAATATGATATTAAATAGAAAATGCAAATAAAATTTAGTAGTAATAATTGTAATTTAGTAGTAGTAATTTAGTAGTAATAAATAAATAAATTTGAAACAAGAACCACCACCAGGGGCCACGGCTATAAGCTAAAAAAAAACTAAAAAAACAATGTGAGGCAGGAGCCAGCAATTTATGGTAAGTAAAGCTAGAGTATAGACCTGTATTTTGCATGTTTCAATTTAAGTTTAACTTATCTAGTAAAGAAATGGCATTGTTTCAAAATAAAAAAGTGGTCAAAGTTACCCCATTTTACGGTACTGATCATCATCACATCACGTCTCGTCTCGTGTCTTGTCTCATCTTATGTCTTGTCTCGTCTCATCTCATCTCCTGTCTTGTCTCGTGCCTCGTCTCATGCCTCATCTCATGCCTCGTCTCATCTCATCTCGTCTCATGCCTCATCTCATGCCTCATCTCATGTCTCATCTCATGCTTGTCTCATGTCTCATCTCGTGCTTGTCTCATGTCACATCTCATGCTTGTCTCATGTCTCGTCTCATGCTTGTCTCATGTCTCGTCTTGTATCTCATCTCCTTGTCTCATGTCCAATCTCATGTCTCGTCTCGTGTCTCATCTCCTTGTCTCATGTCCAATTCATGTCTTGTCTCATATCTCGTCTCGCGTCTCATCTCACATCTCGTCTCATGTCTCGTCTCATATCTTGTCTCATGCCTCGTCTCATGCCCCCTCTTGTGTCTTGTCTCATGTCTCAGTCTCGGCAGTAGTCCAGGACCAGTGTACCTCACTCACTGGCTCACGACTGAACTGAACATAAACTGCACGACATGACATGGTAGAAAAACTGTCAGAAAGCTGCAGAGCTCTGAAATTTTGAGAGCATGCTCTAGAAACTATAATCTTGATTTCAAATTATCTTTCATTAATTTCAAAATATGATATCAATGTTTATTTCTAGCACAAATGTTACCCCCTGCACACTCCAGCTAAGCAGGTACTTAAAAGACATTTCTTGAAAAAAAAAATGGTGTTGTCATAGTTCAAGTTTTTTTAGTTCGTTTCCAAACACAAGTCAATCAAATTAAGCAAACATTTGGGTGGAACTTTCAAAATTAAATACCTTTAATTAGCTGATGCAGAAAGTGGCTGTCCACCATTTTGCCAGCATTGTTCACATTCGTGCGTACTTTGTGCACATACCTATCTATAGTCAACCACACTACCATAGAATTGGGTAATTCTCTTGAAATATAATGTAGGGTAAACACACCATATTCTGACACCTTAAGGACGTAGCAAGAATTGAATGGCTATAAAAAATCACCATAGGGTAAACACACCATATTCGACACTTTAAGGACGTAGCAAGAAATGAATGGCTATAAAAAGATCACTGTTTGCGCAACTTGAGCTCTGATTGCTTTATGTCAGTCTCAAAACACCACACTATGCACCAGCAATGATGAAACGTCACAAACTGTTGCCATATTTATTTAAGAGTCTTTAGAATTCAAATCTACAAAATTGCTGAATTCTGACACTGTGTGTGACTAAATTTGGCATATTGTGAGACTAGGTAATTCCGACAGTGCTTCAAAACCGTAATTCGTAATTCCGACACCCTGTCTTGGAATTCCGATGCCTTGTTTGAGCTGTATCAAAATATGACACAGCTTGAAACGAGCTGTGTGTGTCTAATTCCGAGCTGTGTTGAATTAGTTTTTATGTGTCTAAAACTGTCTCTTAACTTAATCATCTATTAATTTATTACCACTTAAAATCAGCAAATACAAGTAAACTTAAAGGATTCCTAATATATTTACAGACTTATTTAAAAGTCTCAAACCATAATATTCTTTCTACACAAACAGTTAATCACTAATTGGTAGAGCAAAGTCAGCTATAAACTTTGACACGTGTTTCAATGTTCTCACTGGGTGATGTGGACTTTCGCTCTGAGTATCTTAACATTTTCCCACCAGACCTAGTGTTTTGCGGAAATATTGCGTGCAATACTGTAGTATGACGTCACTATTTCAACCATCTATGCATGCGTGGAACTACGACAAAGCTTAATATAAAGGAAAAAGTTGAGTGGTCAAAGTGTCAGAATTACCCACGATGTAGGCAGAGGTGGGCAGTAGCGCGCTACATGTAGCGGATATGGTGCATTTACCCTATCACTTCCACAGAACTAAAAAGGTTGCATGATGATGCAAGGCTGACATACACAGGTTTTGTAGTTAGCTCACAACCTTTGTTACGCTGGATTGTACTTCAGGGAACTGTTTGAAATTTCTAAAACACGGATGGCAATGCTTTTACATGATACACACATTTATACTAGATACAAAGAAAAATGAAGACCAGAAATATTATTTAGCAATTAGAATTTTATCAATCCTTTAATGCAGTGGTTCCCAAACTTTTTCAGGCTGGCGCCCCCTTTGGCTCCCTACTGAATTTCTAGCGCCCCCCACAGACATACGACTCCTTTTTTAAATTTAGTACGCTGCAATTTTAAAGAGAAAGATTGAACACAAATTTGTGTTTCACAAATAGAACCCTATTTAGTGTCCCAATATGGTTTTCAGCTGTTTCAACTGTTTCAGCAGTCAGCACTAGAAACCTAGGACTTCGCGGGCAAATTTACGGCCGGACTCGTGGCCAGTCTCACGACCAATCTCCAAATTCAAGTATCAAGTAATACCACTCAAACTAATGAACCCAGCTCTATGAAACTTGGAATATGTATTCATCAGGACCTAACAGTGATGTTTAGCTCGTAATTTTTTTTTAATTCCACCTTCATTCGTGAGTTACGCGTCGATTGCGAAACAGGCCAAAATTCGCAGTGATCAAAGAATTTCTTCCAAACTATTGAACATATTTGAACGAAATTTTGAATATACATTCCTAACCACCAAACGGTGATTTTTTAACTTATAATTTTCCTTATATTCGGCCCGTATCGACAGGTAATTTGTCACTTAAATTTGCGGCGATCAAGAATTTTCTTCCAAACTACAGAACAATTTCAAATAAACTTTGTATATAATTACCTAACCTCTTAACGGTGATGTTTATCTCGTGACAATTTTTTATTTTGCTTTCGTTTGCGAGTTATACAGATATAGGAGGAACGACCGGCTTTTCTACCGGCCGGTTTAACCCAGAGCCGTATACGTATAGCCGTATAACTCGCAAACGAAGGCAAAACGAAAAAATTGCAACGTGCTAAACATTACCGTTTGGTAGTTATACTGCAAATTCAAAATTTTGTTCGAATCTGTTCAGTAGTTTGGAAGAAATTGCTTGATCACTGTGAATTTCGGCCCGTATTGCCATATAATTGTGGCAAGAACAAATGATGGCAAAATTCTAACAATTTTCACAAGCTAAACATTATCATTAGGTCCTACTGAATATGTGTACTAAGTTCCATCAAGTTAAGTTCATTGGTTTGAGAGTTATTCCTTGATCATTGAATTTGGAAATTAGCTGTGAGACCGACCGTGAGTCCGGCCGTTAATTTGTCCAAGACGTAAACCCAGGAGAGGTTAAAAAACAGATCTGGGTGACAAAACTATTGCTGGGAGTCATATGTTGCACGTGTTGTGTACAAATCGTCAAACAAACGTTGGAACTTCTGACTTCGACTTCGGACTATCACCTCCCTACCACCCTCTTCTTCCTTCCCAAAATCTTTCCACCGCCCCTAGGGGGGTGATATCGCCCACTTTGGGAACCACTGCTTTAATGATTTGTTCAAATTTGTATAGTAAAATGAAGTTATGCTAACTATATATATAAGTCATATACGGTACCATCAAACGGAGTAATAAAGGACGGGCAGGGCACTGTCCCACTCTAGAAGCAATCTTAATTACCATCATCGCATGGAATTTATGAGCGGGCCTTTCCAAATTGGGAGCGCAGCAACATCACCCAACCTTCCACCACGATAGCTCAGTGATTACTGACTTACCCCACCATGCCAGCCCGCTGGCTGAATGGCGGCAGCCATTCAGCAATTTTTTTGCCATATGCCCAAGCTTCCCAGCCAAGTCACTTGGCAATATTAAAAATATATAGGTAATTATAAAACTGTTTAATGCCAATTGAATTTTTGAATAATACATTTATAACACAACTCCAAAATACAGAGTTTCATGTGACAAAAAAGTATGGAACAATTTATTTAAATAATTTAAATAAGTTACTTGCAAAATTTTCCATGCTTCCGCTAGTGGAAACGAGCGTCGTGCACACCCATCTTATCAACCTGACTAACCATGTTAAGACTCAGTCACTCACTTCTCTTCAAAATTTAAATGTCCCTGCTTTACACTGCATTTCAAAGCAAAGCCCAGTATCGAATTGGAAAAATTAGAAACGCACTTCGAGTTCAAACACGCGCAGTCTATATGGTTTTGCGTGGCATATGGTATGGCGAAGCTCGCTCATCTTTGTTGACATTAGACTAATAGATGATTGAACTTGTTTTGAAAGTCTATATTTTCTATCGACCGTCTTTTGTCATAACTCATAACATAACAATGCATACTATTGGTATGATTTTAATTTTATGTAATATCTTATATTATTTTCCAGCATTGTATGGTTATTTTTGTTTAATTAATTATGGATAATTTATTAATTTAACTTTTATTCAATGAGCTTGTCAGTATAAATAGTTACTAATTATGCTACTAGGACTTGTCTTAGAAGGGCTGACAATATTTTATTGTTAACATCATGGAAGTTTCGACTATATTAACTGATAATAACTATCATTTTTAAATGACTGCATCAATCTTCTGGGACAAGTTTTTACGATTTAAGTCCCAAACTTTACCACTTTGAACTAAATGGCAATGAAGCTATTTAATACCAATACTGTCCTGCTGTTTGCAGGCATTTTCAGATTTATTTATTTTTTTTTGTCTGCTACATTCTCACGTAACGCTACCGACCGCATCTCTGCTCACGTCTCGGACAATTTTACGGCCGGTCTCCAAGGAATGTCTCCCAATTCAATGAACAAGGAACATCACCCAAAGTAATGAATGCAGCTCAACGAAACAAGGTACACATATTCATTAGGACCTAACCGAGATGCTCAGCTTGTGAATATTATTTTTTTTCATTTCATTTTCATTCGTGAGGTAAACAGCAAAACAAGGGGAAATTTGCAGCGACCAGGAAATTTCTTTTAAGCTACAGAACAGATTTGAACGAAACTTAGAATATTCTTACCTAACCTTCGAATGGTGATGTTTTGTATCCTAGCATTTTTTTTTTCGATTTGCTTTAGGTCTTGAGTTTTTTCCATATCACCTTCATTCGTGAGTTATAACCAAAATTTGCAGTGACTGAGAAATTTCTTCTATGATGCTTAGCTCTGAGTATATAATGCTATATACTCAGCATGATCATGCTGCATTCTCAGCATGATCATGCTATATACCACTCAGCATGATCATGCTGCATTCTCAGCATGATCATGCTGCATACTCAACATGATCATGCTGCACACTCAACATGATCATGCTACATACTCAGCATGATCATGCTACATACCCAGCATGATCATGCTACATACTCAGTATGATCATGCTACATTTCTCAGCATGATCATGCTACATTCTCAGCATGATCATGCTAGATACTCAGCATGATCTTGCTACATTCTCAGCATGATCATGCTACATACTCAGCATGATCATGCTACATTCTCAGCATGATCATAGAATGCTACATTCTCAGCATGATCATGCTACATTCTCAGCATGATCATGCTACATTCTCAGCATAACTAGTCAGACTGTCAATGAATGTGATTTTACACTAATCTGAATTTATCTGGCTGTCGCTCAAGTAATCACACACTGGGACAATAGAAAGAGATGATTAATATAAGACACTGGTAACAATTACTAAATAGTTTATATACCAGCATGTGGCCCCTAACAACATGCTCAGCATGATCATGCTACATGCTCAGCATGATCATGCTACATGCTCAGCATGATCATGCTACATTCTCAACATGATCATGCTACATTCTCAGCATGATCATGCTACATTCTCAGCATGATCATGCTACATACTCAGCATGATCATGGTGCAAAATTGAAATGGTGCTAAATTACAAGCTGCCTGAAAGGTTACAGATACAGAAATGCTATGCAGCTGCTGATATGAAGCTTGCAGCAGACAAGGTTGTTGTCAATGCTCAATGGCAGGTCCATGGATACAGTAATATCATCTCAATAAAGGAAAAACAAGTAAAAATCAACAAGCCAAAACTCGTTTATGAAATGTTTCATGGTAAGAAGTTATTAAGAAAAAACTCTCAAAACTGTCCCTTATTGCCCCGTTTGCTGGTTTTGCTCACAATTATTGTACTACTAGTGCAGTAGCTGCTGACTGCTCAATGGCAACTTAATTGTTATTGAAAATAAAGATCTTTTTGACAACATATTAGCATTAAAATCTATGTCTGTAGACGATTTTGCCAACACACACCGCACATATTACTTTAAATGTTCCTCTATTTCTATTTTATATTTGAAAATTCTAGTGGTTTAGCTATTCAGGTAAAAAGGTCTAAAAAAATAGATAAGCTAAAATCTAGTATGGAAAACATCTGCCCTTTGAGCCACAACTAGAGCTCTACTGCCATTGTCAGAACGCCAGATTACTGCTAGACAAATTATTAATCTCTTCCCATCTAATTATTGACAAGCGCTTGATGAAGCCGCTAGATTCCAAAGTTATTGAAAATTTGTTACTTTGGAGGGTTAAGATTTTAGTAACAAGTAAGATTATTCCAATCCTTGCTAAAATCTTGTAATGGTTGATGACGTTCTGTCATAATCTTTTATGTCAGACTTTTTCAATTCTCAGCTGTTATTGTTGTCTTAGTTGAAAGGTGCTGTTTATTTAAAAAGAAACTTTCCTAAAAAGTACTTCCCAGTACAATATTATGAAAAATAAATTTTTTTGTGAGACTTGAACCATTGCAAATCAAGAAGTCAAAACATGAACTTATCCTAATTTTCAATTACTTCGTTCAAAGACTTGCATTGCAATATTTCATACAAGTGGCAATTCAATTATTTATAAATGACTTGAATGTTATCTCCATTTGAGTTTATTCTGGACAACAACTTTATTCAAAATTTCTAATTACATTTATTTGTGCATGTTGCATAGATACTGTTGCTCTAATTCCTGAGAGAATGCTGGCTATGAAAATTTTCATGTCATTATTTCCATAGATTGCTGCACAACTCAAGTCTAAAATTGGATTTTAATTTCCACTGTCACTGTAATGATTTGCCTGTATTGAATTATATTGTTTCAATTATATTTGTAAAAGTTTTTGAATGATTATTTATTAGCAATGAAATGTAATTCAGAAATATCCAATTAAAGTTCATTATTGTTTGAAGATGAATTCGTTTTTAATAAATAACATTTATTATGCAAGAAGAGTAGTTATATTGCATATAGGTACATGTTATCCTGCAGAATGATCACATATTGTGAAATAAGTAGGTATATTTTGTAACTGTATTAATATCTGTTTTAATTTATATGTTTTTAACCATCATTAGCCCATAAATGTACTGGGCATATACGGTAGTGGCAAGCAAGAAAATTTATTGTTGCTCTTCTTTTTGTGTCCTACATATAAGTAGACTAGTGATGAATTCTTGATATCAGCATTATCATACATCAGATAATGAATCAAGTCTTGGACTTGAAGTAAATCAGGAATGGCAATGAAAATAGCTCTTTCTTTGCCACTATGCACAGGCATAGCTTGGGCTATGACTCAGTTTCTTTAGGGCCCTGAATTGAACCTCCTTGGTCTATATATGTTTGATTTGCTTATAGTCTTTTGTATATATTATTGCACAAGATAAACTCTGTTTCCTTGCAATTTTTATGATCTTATGTTGCAAACTTTTGCTCCTGTTTTCCCTCAGACTAGTTTTGCTGTACCTGCTACTACTCTCTGCCTTGTGGCTGCATGGATGTCCAGGGAACTTCCATAGAACTCCACAGTCTCCACTCACCAGAAAGTGTTGTACACTTCCTGAGTTCACACTCCAGAGCTGCCACTTCCCATAAAATTTTGGAAAGAGTAATACAGAAGTCTGGACCTTGTAAGCATGCATTTAGAACATGAAAATTTTTTGTTTCTAATTTCAGTGAATATTGTGACTTTTTTTCATTAAATTTTCTTTTATACAACCTCACAATGCCATGTAACCAAACTGGAAATTTAGGGTTTACACTAGTGGTTGAGTTATATAATTATTGCCAGTTCAATTCAAGATCAGAAACCACTCAAAAATAATTATTATAGGCATTTAAGACAATATATATTCATTGCATTTCTCATCTTTTGTAAACTGTATGCAAAAGTACTAACTGCAAATTATTGCAGGTATGCAGTGCGGAGATGGCGCCTCGACCAAAGAAAAAGCTGGAATTCTTCAATAAAGGTCGCCCACCGCTGCTGCTTGTTTCTAGTGACGAATCTCTTATTTGTGATGCTTTGGGTAAACAAGGCAAAAACAACACAAACAGCATCCACAAGCAGCAAGAGTTTGTCACTCAGGAGAATACATCAGTAGGGGAAGAGCCTTCATCCAGTCTTCTTCAGTTGTCCAGGAGGGGTGCAAGATCACTAAACTCAATAGTTCTTCCTAATGAAACCAGTAACGAGAGTATACCTGCTTCTACAGATTCGCGTGGTAAACATGAAAACCTCTTGCATGAGCAGAATTCTAATGTACGAACTCCGTCATTTCGTCATTTATCTTCCAATTCCAAAAGAAAATTAGGAGATGATGCTGCTCCTACTTTGAAAATCTCTACAGCTCGTGAGAATAGTTCTTCTCCGGATTCAGACGACATAGAAATTATCGAGGAATACGTTAACCGACGTTACTATCCTCGAATCAGGCGCCCAAGAACTGTTGCTCATACTAAGCACCCGGTTAACAATTCGCCGATGCCAAACCCTAAACATATGTCAGTTTTGCCAAATCATCATGATTTACGCGGGACTTCATTTACAAAAACTAGATACGCCTTCTATGATACAGACCAGGAAATCTCTTCTTCAAGCATCAATGGAGAAAGAATCAGCAACGGACCCACACGATCACTTAGGTCTGCTGCTCTAGATCATCACTCTTTCATGCGTCAGCCACCTTACGATGGCCGTCGTGCAGTCTCTTATCAAGCTCGCGATCTCCCTGGCTCGTATCCTCGTCCAGTTATTGCTAGTGATTGTTTTACTACCGATCAGTATCCCAGATCTATGTACTATTCTTCGCAAGTACATTCCCATGAACATATGACCAATGTCAACCACTCACCTGATACCCGAGCAAACTTTATTGTGCCAATAAATTACAGTGAGCATCCTCTGAACCGGCTACATAATCAGACGTACTTTAAACCGCGCGTGCACTACAATGAAGATAGACGTCCTGATGTACCTCAAGAGTCTCCGCTCCCACAGACGCACTATAACGATAGTACACGTTTCGAAGCACCCCGTGAACCTGTACTCCCTCACTACAACAATGGCACACGTTTAGAAGTACCTCTTGTAGCTCCGCTCCCTAAATCAAATCCTTACATGAACCGTAATGATGGTGCACGTCTCGATCAAACTTCTAGAGTCCCTTTCCCTATTGCTCCTGATCCCAAAATCTATATTAATTCCAGCAATACCCACAGACCTAATCTTGTAACAAAATCAGCTGAGCCCCCGAAGCGACTGCAAGAAATTCACATCAGCCACAAATCTGCATTTGTGCCTGTAGCGCAAAACTCTCGTGCCATGGACTTGCAACCGCCTCAAGCCCCAGACGTGCCTCTACAGTCCAGCATTCGGCGTGAGGAACGTACGATCAAACCAAGCATGTGTCTTCCTGAAGCCTCGAACTCTTTCTGTTCCAGCCCACAAGAAGCAGATCAATCTGCAACCGAAAAGAAGCGCTACCAGACATGTCGCTTGTGCCACAATCATGGTGTTGTCACGCCCATAAGAGGTCATAAATACGTGTGTCCCTATATCAAATGCACCTGCACGAATTGTAAGGTTACTTTTAAACGAAGGCATTTTGTTAAAGAACAACTCAAAATCACGCGACGTCAGAACACTTACTGGCAAAACGGGCAAGATGCGACAGATGACCCGGCACCTGGCCCCGTGAAATTACCAAGCGTCAAGATGAATCCGTTCCCACAAGAGAATGTCATGATAAAGGACTTGGCTCTCTTCGATGACCTGGAGCTCTTTGAAGGAATTGATTCTATTTGCAGACCTCAAGCGAGAGCAAATCAGTCTTGAAAACTTAATAGTGCACTCGTTATTATTTGGGTCGGTTATCCAGGGGCGTATTCAGCCCGTGTACTGTGACATAACCTATATAAAAAGGAATCGTAGGGTAATGGTAATTGTTACTCAATTTTCTGCTTAGAGTCCAGTGTATGCGTTACATGGAAAGGAACGCATACACTGGAAAGGAACGCATATTGTTAAATTTTATTGAAACTGTGCCTACACTCATATTAGACTCGTTGCTCAATTTGATTAATGATATATCTCCTCGACACACCGGCCATCTAGTCGAGGTTGCCTTTAGTTTGTATATAAAAAATATGGACTCTGAGATTTGCGAGAATTCACCGTCTCACAGAAACTAAAGCAAATATGACCATGAAATTTACACTATCTAGAACTTGTACTGGCGAACCACCATTTTACTTACATAAACTTCTGAGAATCACCACGAGTGAACCTTACTTATATACACACTGAATTGAAATACTGGAAAATTTCAACGACTATTTCTCTTTTGAAATAATTCAGATTTAACTACTTTGTCAATGAAGTTAATGCATGTGTAAAAATCATTGACATCTGCAGGAGCCCGCCTAATATTCTTCCGCAATTGAATGGCTTTCAGGATAAATAAAGAATTCTGTTGCTGTACGGTCGATGATGTGAAATTCGCCTCTTGAAGCTCCCGCTTATAATGATAATGAAATTACAAATGGATCTTAATCGTTTCGTAAAGTAAGATAGAAATAATTTTGACGGAAATGGAAACCTGAAATACAATTGAATTGCTGGCTTTATCTTACTATGAAGCTTTTTTCCGATTCTATCCATCCAATTTATCATTTGCATTGCAGTGCGGCAAATTTTGTGTAGTTGAGAGTATGCAGCTTAAAGGGTAGAAGGATCGGATGTACCGCTCCAAAAGGCCGTGTCGCTAAGACGCGATCTATCATCAATTCGTTTTTAAATACATTTTTCTCATGTTTGCAGGTATAACAAATAATGTCCATTTAAATTTCAATTGTTTTATCTTTGCTTTGCATCCCTTAGTCGTGCTTCTTACTGTGGTTGCCTTAAATTTGGACTTCTCTTTGGACAAACCTCTTATGTTCCGCGCTGAGATTAACTTTTAAATATTTTCTCTTATATATTTATGAATTGTTTATTTCTGTAACTTATATCAAGTTTTGACTTCACATTTTTTTTAATATTATCGAGATGAATTTTGAAATACGTTGCTGCATTTCTTATGCTGCAATTAAGCTGTAATTTTAGATCGCTTTAACCTCATTTTTTCCAAAAGCTCCTTCACTGCCAAAGACCATCGCAGCCTTAGGTAACAAAATATTAGTGATGTGAAAATATAACTCTAATTTAGTTGTTTAGTCTACGCACTTATGTATGTTGATTTGGACCATTTTTTGAGTCTCCAATTGCGTTTTATGTAGGTATATCTTTTCATCTAATTTAAACGTAATAAAGCGATTTGAAATCTTTAGACCCCAGAATAAACTTGTGATGACAACGGACTTGAATTTAAACGTTCAACCTCTGGTCATGATCTGAGAACTTGGTAACAGAAGTGCAATATTCTCTTAGCGTTGTCTGAGGAGGTTTGCTGTAGCCGTTCTGGTATAAGAAGCATGTTCGTTATTACTGTGTGTTCGCTTCTCTTGTATTGCGGTGTGTTCATATTATTTTTCGGTTTTTAAATATAATCAATCTTAAGGTTTGAATATCAACTTTATTACTAGTTTTTAAAGTGTCTTGACACATCATATGAATTAATACAACGTTTGTTCTTGAGAATTGATTTCGCAGGTTTGATCGATTGAAATTAACTTGTACGAGCCGTGCTGTGACTTGTGTTGTATATTTTTGCAAGAATATATTTGTCGTTCACGCGGTGTTAAGCGTCTCTGATGAGTTAGTTTATTCATGCTCTTAGTTGGCTTCTCATATTAATATTTATCTGGTATATATATTCGTGTACTCTTATGATCACCGGAGCTTTAATTCTACGCTGAATTTAACCGTTATTATGCCGTTAATTTATGAACTTAAAAAGCCGTATTTACGTTATTTTACGTAGCAGGTTCGAAGTTGATTGCTCAATTTCCCCAGCAGTAATATTTCATTATTGGTGCCGTCCTTCGTATGGACGTAACTATGCAGTTCATCTCACGTGCTGAAAATGTTGACCTCATGACACAAGGCAAGCTCTTTTGTCTACTGATACATTACGCGTCGTTAATGCTGTTCATGCCTATAGGTCTAGTAACTAGAGTTACAGTCAGTGGACTCACGGCTCAACCCAACAATGGTCGCGCGCAAAAACTGACCAGATTAGTTGTCTTTTCGTTTAATTCGAATTTCTTGTGCGATCATTGTAGGGGTTAACTACTCGTCCTAGCGTTTACGCAGCAACACTTCAAGGTGCATCCTTCCACTTGTTACATAGGGCATGTAAATTTACTTTAATCTGTTACCTCGAAGTCATGAAATTGTTTATTAGACATAATGTTAAGTGGTGTTTTTGTACCGTTTGTTGATCAAGGATCTAAATTGCATTAATCATAGTACCAAATTTTGCGGTTTTACTGTAGGAATCCACTTTTCTCATATTTTATCCGGATTAAGTTTGTTGATATATAATATGACGGTTTATTAAAAAATCAGTTAGCAGTTATTGTCAATTTCCTCTTGCATGGACTGAGTCAATGGGGTTGTAGCTGCGGTAGAATGAAATCTCAGAACGAACAACGCACACGGGGTCTTAGTCGAGCCAATTAACCACAAGTATTAGATTTCGAGACACAAGTCTTCTCAAAATTTAAACGATTGTAAAGTTGATCGTTTTTTGCTCGAAAATATCTCGAAAAACTATTAGTATCCTTTTCTTTGTTAGTCTAATGCATTTTAGATTGGCGAAGTTCCAACGACTATTTCTTTCCCAGTCTGGGATCTTTTTTTCAGCCTATGCCCAGGGCGAACGCCATGAGCTTGGGAGTAGTCAAGCGCAACCCCACAACGTAGGGAGTAAGTAGAAGACTGTTGCCACGTTCATGCTAATAAACTTTTGTTATTGTTGCCGGCCACAAGGCGACGTCACTAAAAGAATACCTCTGCAGGCTCCACGCGTTGAGTCGTATAAAATATCCCTGGATGCGGTAAAAGCTGAGTTCTTTTTTTTTTAAGACTAAAGATACAGTCATCTTATAGAATTCGAAACGTTTACCAAGACTCGGCCGTATTTATTTATCTTTTCGCGAAACCATTTGGGAAGCTTCATAAGTGAGCATTTCCGTGAAGTAAAAAAAATTTAAAATCAATAATAGCTTCGGAAACGAGACCAGTAAATTCATTTCGACCGCGTTTGAACTTAAGGAAATGTGCCGTAAAAACTATTGCCAAATTTTAACACAAAATTAGACTGCTCAAGACAAGCGAAACGTCACAGCTCTCAATCTTCCAAGATTGGTCCCGCAAATGTAAGCACTGAAGACCTATCGCAGTTGCTCTTCGTCTGCTAAACAAATTATCAAAAAGCCTAACTAGTCGCAAGATCGCTAATGTAACAATATGCTTACGTCAACTATAATTCGAGTATGCTTAGCAGTCGCACATAGTAAGTTCAGAAAACAACCAACTACTCGGAGCGCATTTTCACACCAATATTTGCTGTTATAAACAGGTCCAACCGGTTGCAACATAACACGACTGTCTTGAAACGTAATAGCTATCATTTGCTCTATACGAGAACTCAAACTAGCATAGAGCCAATCAAAATGTTTTCTTCAAGCCATGAGCATGTTCTGCATATCAACTTAGTTGTCAGATACATTGACAGTCACTAGCATTCGTAGCCATATAGTCCGATATGCGAGAGTTGGTCAGTAGACTACAGCTTTTAAGCGAAAAAAGTATTATTTTGTGAAAAGTAAGAATATAATCCGTACTAGTATTCGTAGCCGATGGCCCAGATGAGATTTTCAGTAAGTAGACTACCGCTTCTAAGCGAGAAAAAAAAAGTGTTATTTTGCGAAAAAAAATAATATCGGTAGGTACTGGTATATGTGAGCAAGAACGAATCGAATTACCGCCAACGGATTATCAATCATTTTATAAATCGACATTGAAAACGTTTCGGAGTCCAGCTCCATCATCAGTTCGACATTCATTTTTAGATTGACGAACTGATGACGGAGCTGGACTCCGAATCGTTTTCAATGTCGATATGGTGAATTTGTTTGGCATTTTCTTTGCTTTCAAATTCCTTATCAATTATTTTATTGAAGCATCCTTGAAACGCCGTAACAACTTGATTTTTAAAGAACGAACATTTTCAAGCTTTATTGTAAGAAAAATACAGAAAAGAAGAACATGGTAAGTTAAGTGAAGCAAAATATTAACGCTTAATCGAGAATTCGATGCTGCAGAATAAATCGGTGATCAATCACAATTAACCGAGAAACCGGCACCAAAATTAGGAATAAATCCAATTGTCAACGGAGGATCATTTAAAAAATTTAGAATTATCTGCTTGAAAAATGATAACTTCAGCGCAGTTCATCGAAAGTTACTGGCAAAAATTATACATAGAATCAACCACTACAGAAGCAACTAACACAAGTTCAAAAAAATTCCAAGTCTCACCAATGTAAAATAAAAGTTTAGCAATAAACGAGTTAAACAGGTTATCAATAAAATTCGAATTCATCTATTCTGATAGCAATGAAACCAAGGCAAGGTTTATAGCACGAAATGCTTCACAGTGACTACAATTTTCGTTCTGAAGGCACTACCACGTTCCGACGAACTTGCACAAATGCAACTAGCCTATGTATAAAAAATTATGAATGACAAATAATGTAATGTCTGATGACGAAAAATATAATCGGTATATCTATAAAGATGGTTCAAATAAATCCTTTCGAGTATTACTTATCTAAAGAAGAGAAGAGTCTCAAGTACAGCGTAAGTAAACTAAACACATCTCTCTATTTAAAGGAGAGTCCTCTGAAATTCCCAGTGACATCTAATAATAGCTGAACTAAAAGTTTTAAGTAAATAAAACAAAGAAGAATTCTAATTTAATGCCTCTTCTCGGATAAGAATATGAAAGAGATTATGCCGTTCATAATTAAATCAATGGAACCAAAGTGGATCAATTCAAAGCCACACAACTGTGGCTGGTTGAACTCCTCTCCTTCCTGCACGGCGCCATCACGCTGTAGACGTCGCGTATCTGTCGACATGATACAGGATCGTTATGCGTCGCTTATGGCAGCACAGAAACGTCAAGTAAACACATTTTTGGAAACCATTCAAATTATCTACTCTCCAGAAAATACGATTTTATGGCACCATCTAGTCAAGAACGCATTAATTACGTAGCCTATGTAATTTGAACACATAGCTTCTTGGAAAATTGAGGGCCATTGTAAACTTCACTTCGGATTATGGTCATTATGCCATTATGGACTCCACACAACTTGCTCACAATATTATTCGCGCTAACATACGTAGTAAAAACTAAGCAAAAACGCCGCTGTGCATGCAAGATTATTGCATGCGACTTTTGTACCCAACTCGCGGTGCTAGAATGGCACCACTCGCCAGTCACCGCCAGCTTATAAAAAGCAACCACGCATAACTTAAGCGACACAGCGAGCATGAGCAACATAGCAAGTTTGATGTTGTCTAGTCCAATTAAGCGGCCCAAGCCGTTCCAGGAATATATCAAAATTCAATATTTATAACTAAATTTGTGATGCTACTACAAGCTAATTTCTACGAGTTTTTTCATTTACTAAAAAATGGTAGCGTTAGGTCATTGCTCATTTTCACAACACTTCTCTTTAACTTCACTTCTTGTTTTTTTGTCTGTCTGCTACAAATCTTATAATCAAAATTTAACACACTTCTACTTATCCTATCGATCTGAAATTTGGCACACTTGCGTAAAGTTGGAGACAATGCAAGAATCAAATGACAAGATAAATGATTTTAAAAATAATTTTTTTTTTCAATATTAAAAAAATTAAAAAAATAATGTCAGATACAAATCTTATAACTGGTATTTGACACACTTTTACCTTTCCAATTGATCTGAAATTTTGCACACTTGTGTGAAGTAGGAGGCAATGCATGAATCAATTGACAGAATAAACAATTAAAAAATATTTTTATAAATTAAAAAAAAAATGAAAAATTGATTTTTTTAATATTCGAAAATAAAATCAGAAATTCATTGTACATCTTTAACATTGGAGACACTGGATTCTTTAGAAGTGTTGTCTTTAAAAAGTAATTTTTGAACTATATTTTATCATCTAGCCTAACACAATTAGAGTTCTATGACAATAGAAAGTTAGGTAGTCGTGCCACGGATGCTCACTAAGCTTTTTGGGTTTTAGTAGGTATGTAAAAAAAGAAGCGGACACAAAAATCCTGATAATGCCAGCGGGAACGTACCTATTGTGAATAAAAAAGCCTCATTTTAATTAGGTCAGGTTTTTTCAATTTGATGAAGTCATGAATGGAAAACGCGCTCTGCAAATTCGTACATTTAAGCGTTCGAGTTACGTAGTAGGTATGATGTAAATTGCCGCAATTCCGCATGCAATTAGGTAGGTACAAAATTAGATTGAGAAAAACGACTAGAATATGTAAAATTAAATTTGAAATTTTCTCAAGTATCATTGCTTCCAGTTCCAGAATTGTAATTATTAAAACAAATACTTAACTTCGGTGAGGAATAAGGATCAGCCCTAAAACGTCTAATTTTCCACGGTACATATTAACATATAGGCTAGGCCTAGCCTAATCACTCAGTCGGGCTCACAATAGCTACCTAGCTAGGCCTACTCACCATTCACCAAGAATTGAGATTTGAGAATACAAGAAAATCAAAGAAATTGACTCACCACTTCAAGTTGTTAGGTACTCCTATGAACCCTAGCTCAAGGCTCCCGCGCTGAGCTCTCAGCTCATCATCTATGGCCAAACAAGTTTTGGTTATTTTAAGGCTAATATCCGTTGATTGCTCGATTTCACTATCGACATGACGAAGTTCAACTTCATTCAATAATTCTTCATCATTTTTTTCAATTAATGCCATTATGCGGCGCAATTCAATTTTGCATGTTCTGAGGGCGAGTGGGTCAGTTTCTTTCAGAGTCACACGAAACCCACAGCCATGATTTGCTACTATGGATAATTTTGTTTGCCTGATTGATCCACTGTGTTTTTTTTTCTACATTGTGAAGCCTCTTACTGATCTTATCAGAAGCCATTGCACACTATTCNTGAAGGTTGATGCTCATCAGAACCAACGCAATGAAGTATATCTGAGTAGATAATATGACAATATCCATATATCTCTCAGACCTGTCTCTTATACACATCTAGATGTGTATAAGAGACAGATATTATTCCGTAAGTCATAGAAAAGTGTAAGCTAAAAATCTTCTTCACGCGAATCTGGCAACATCGTGAAAGACTTCCGAATTTGCCCGGAGCTCTATTTCGAGCACCTTCATTCTTGCCCTGACGCCAACTTGCGAGGTCCTCCGCCGTGTCTCTCCTTAGTAGTTCCTTATATGTGTTGTGATATCTATACACTGGGCCTTTTAACATACCTACTGTACATGTTGACATTCAACTAAATAAACACGAAAAACTCGGACCTGCATCCTCCCATTACCCTACCAGTATTTAGGGAAGCCTCAGTCAAATACAAAATCTTCAGCGCAATATTAAACGACTAGTATCCCTCAATCTTCAGTGAGATCCCTCAGTTACCCTCAAACTTCTCTCAGTAGACCCTCAGTCTCACAACTTCCCTCACACTAGTCGTCTCAAAATCTCTTCATGCTTGTGAATTTGGTAGTTTTTTGCTCGAAAATATCTCGTGAAACTGTAGGTATCCTATTCTTCGTTTGTCTAATTCATTTTAGAGTGGCGAAGTTCCAAAGACTATTTCTTTCCCAGCCTGGGATATTTATTATTTTTTTAGCCTATGCCCAGGGCGAACGCCATGAGCTTGGGAGTAGTCAAACGCAACCTCGCAACAAAGGGAGTAAGTAGAAGACTGTTGCCACGTTCATGCTTAGAAACTTTTGTTATTGCTGCCGGCCACCAAGCGACGCCACTAAAAGAATGCTGCACATCAGCAGGCGCCACGCGTTTAGCCTTACAAAATATCCCTATATGTGGGACAGGCTGAGTGTCTTTTAAGACTAAAGATACAGTCATCTTGGAGAATTCGAAACGTTTACCAAGACTCGGTTGTATTTATTTATCTTTTCGCGAAACCATTTGGGAACTTCATAAGTGAACATTTCCGTGCAGTAAAAAAAAATAAATTAAAATCAATAACAGCTTCGGAAACGAGACCAGTCAATTCTTTCCGACCGCGTTTGAACTTAAGGAAATGTGCTGTAAAAACTATTACCAAATTTAAACACAAAATAAAATTACTCACGACAAACGAAAAGTCACACCTCTCATTCTTCGACGATTGGTCCCGCAAATGTTGGCACTGAAGACCTATCACGGTAGCTCTTCTTCTGCTGTACAAATTATCAAAAAGCCTAACTATTCGTAAGATCGTTAAGGAGACCCTATACATACGTCAACTATAATTCGAGTATGCTTAGTAGTCGCCCGTTATGAAGTTCAGAAAACAACCAACAACTTACAGCGTCTCTGCACACCAATATTTGCAGATGTAATCAGGTCCATCCGGTTGCAACTTAACACGACTGTCTTGAAACGTAATAGCTATTATTTGCTCTATGAGAACTCTAATTAGCATAGAGCCAATCAACAGGGTTTCTTCAGGCCATTGCATGTTCTTCATGTCAACTTTGTCGTCAGATACATCAACAGTCAATACTATTCGTAGCCATAGGCCGATATGCAAGAGTTTGTAAGTAGACTACAGCTCTCAAGCGAAAAAATGTTATTTTGTGAAAAAATAACTAGGTATATAATCAGTAGGTACTGGTAAATGTGAGCAATAACAACGCGAATTACCGCCAACGGATTAGCAATCATGTTATTGAAGCATCCTTGAAACCGAAACAACTTGATTGTTAGAGAGCGAAAATTTTCAAGCTTTATTGTAAGAAAAATACAGCAAAAAAAAACAAGTCAAGTGAAGCAAAATATTAACGCATAATCGACAATTCGATGCTGCAGAATAAATCGGTGATACTGATAAATCACACTAAACCGAGAAACCCGCACCAAAACTACGAATAAATTCAATTGCCAACGGAGCATCCTTTAGAAAATGTAGAATTTTTGCTTGAAACATGATAACTGCAGAGAAGTTCAACGAAAGTTACTGGGAAAAAATTATACATTGAATCAACCACTATACCTACAGAAGCAACTAACACAAGTCCAAATAAATTCCAAGTCTCACCAATGTAAAATAAAAGTTTAGCAATAAACGTTTAAACAGGTTATCAATAAAATTCGAATTCATCTATTCTGATAGAAATGAAACCAAGGCAAGGTTTATAGCACGAAATGCTTCACAGTGACTCTACAATTTTCATTCTGAAGGCACTACCACATTCCGACGAACTTGCATAACTGCAACTAACCTATGTATATAAAATTATGAATGACAAATAATGTAATTTTTGATGATGAAAAATATGATCGGTATATCTATAAAGATGGTTCAAATAAATCCTTTCGAGTATTACTTATCTAAAGAAGAGAAGAGTCTCAAGTACAGCGTAAGTAAACTAAACACATCTCTCTATTTAAAGGAGAGTCCTCTGAAATTCCCAGTGACATCTAATAATAGCTGAACTAAAAGTTTAAAGTAAATAAAACATTGAAGAATTCTAATTTAATGCCTCTTCTGGGATAAGAATATGAAAGAGAGATTATGCCGCTCATAATTGAATCCATGGAACCAAAGTTGAACAATTCAAAGCCACAACACTGTGACCGGTTGAACTCCTCTCCTTCCTGCGTGGCGCCATCACGCTGTAGACGTCGCGTATCTGTCGACAAGATACAAGATGGTTATGCGTCGCTTATGGCAGCACAGAAACGTCAAGTAAACACATTTTTGGAAACCATTCAAATGATTTACTTTCCAGAAAGTACGATTTTATGTCACCATTTAGTCAAAAACTCATTAATTACGTAGCCTATGTAATTTGAACACATAGCTTCTTGAAAAAAAAATAGAGGGCCATTGCAAACTTCACTTTGGATTATGCCATTGTGGACACCTACAAGCAACCACACAATTTGCTCTCAATAATATTCGCGCAAACAAAGTGCGTATGCCTACGGTAGTACAAACTAAGCAAAAACGCGGCTGTACATGCAAGACCTAAGCACCTAACTCGCGGTGATGGAATGACAGTTATGACTTCACTCGCCGCCAGCATTCAAACAGCAACCAAGCAAGGTTGCTACACGAGGCTGGCAGTAGCGTATATTGGTTGCGTCTACTACAGTTTTGCAGGCTGAGAGCCTATACACGACTATAGAGTTTTCGGTACACTGCGACTGCGCCCGCGTCAGTGCGACGTTGGGAGTTGTCGAGTACGGCCCCTTTCACACAGGTCAGTAAATACTGCCAGCGTCCGACAGTATTTACTGCCGAACCTCAAGATATATTTTCCATAAAATATATAGGTATTTCCATAGAGATGTATTTACATCATTCTCACATAGAGATATAATTTCATAAAGAAATATTGCTACATAAACATAGAGATGGACTGATGGTGCATGAAGCACTGCAAGACTGATAGATCCCAGCAGTAAATAGCGCCTCGTGTGAAAGATTGCGCTGTAAATACTGCCGCGGCATTTTTGACGCGCGCAGTATCTACTTACTACTGCCCTGTGTGAAAGGGGCTTAAGAGTGTGCACGGTGGAGTCACGCGAGAGCAAGACAGCAGTGCGCGCTACAGTGGGCGAGAGACAGCGACGCAGCTATGCTCGGTATGACGGCCGGGCGGTAGTGAGCGCAATTGACTGCTTCAAAACTGTAGTTGCTAAGCGACACAGCGAGTAAGCTTGATGTTGGCTAGTGTCTCGGCTTTTTCATTGAAAAAGAAATGATAGTGTTAGGTCATTGCTTATTTTTGTACGCTAACACAATAGAAAGTTAGGCGTGCCAAGGATGCTAAGCGTTTTGGGCTCTAGTTATGTTAGAAATGAGCGGACAAAAGAAATCTTGACAATGATCGTGGGAGCATATTGTGAATAAAAGCCTCGTTTTAATTAGGTCAGGTTCAGTTCCAAATTGATGAAGTCACAAGTGGAAAACGTGTTCTGAAAATTCATACATTTACGAGTTGAGTTCGAGCGTCATTATGTTGATTGCATTTATGTACACAATTGGATTAATTTAACTAGATTCCCGCATGCAACTAGATACAAAATTAGATTAAGATACAGGACTTTATGTAAAATTATTTGACATTTTCTCCAGTCTCTTCGATTCAAAATTATTATTTAAAAAAAGACAACTTCGGTGAGGAATAAGGATCAACCACTAAACTTCAGATTTTTTACGGTACATATAAAGCGTCATATGATAATGAAATTTTAAATTAGAATAGAATAGAATAGCATAGAAGTGTCGGCACTGAAGAATAAAGCCCATGGCCTGTTGCCCATTCTTGAATTTTTCGCGTTTTCAACCCAATACTTTATTCTTCAATTTTGAAAGAATAAGCAGTATTCCAATGTGGTGCTCAACCATTGAATGAACCAAGAATTAAGTCCCACTCACTGTCCCAGTGATTCTAACTTCTAAAGCAGTATGAACCAACTCCATTTAAATATTGAGTAAATGAGGGAATTAAAAATGAACTGATTCTAAAAATATCTCTGGTTTCAGTGGTTTGCTGCTATGCTTGGCACATGAAATCTAAACTAATACAGTATGTAGTTCTACCTAGCCTACGTGTTTGATACAACAAGCCCTGGGTATAAATTTCAATCTACTATTCAACTTTGATGAATTAAAGAACTAATTTCACTGTGGGTAGGCGTAGGCTATCACAGATTCATAGTATCACCAGACACCAGTCACAACTCTAGACTCAGTGGGGCTCACAATACTCACAATGCAGTAGGCTATGCACCAAGAAATTGCAAGAATTGAGAATACAATAAATTGACTCACCACTTCAAGTTGTTACTCCTTCAGCAATTAGGCTAGACATAAAATGATCAAGTGTCAAGGAGGACTGAGGATAGAACCATAATGCACTTTGAACATGAAATTAAACTTCTGTGTTAGATAGCTAGCCTGATAGCGTGATAGGTAAGGTACCTACAACACACTCACAAATTTTCAATATAAATTTTGATCAATTTAGCTTTGATAATTAAAGAACTAATTTCACTGTATCACAGTTTCACCAATCACACCTCACGGAATCACGGTCACAGACTCACAGTTGGACTCACAATTGCATAATCATTACGGGTGTCAGGTAGGTACTTACTACTCACCAGTCACCACTCACCAGTCCCCAAGAATGGAGATTGGAGTGGAGAATACAATAAATTGTTGACTGACTACTGACTTTACTCACCATTTCAAGTTGCTGCTGGCCTCTGCTAGGAGTTCTAAGCTACCAGCTTGTGCCCAAGGCTCCTATGGCATCAGACTCTGAGGCAGCTGAGGCTCTGAGCTTATCATCTATGGCCAAACAAGTTTTGGTTATTAAAAGTCTTATCTTCATTGACCTCGCCATTTCATCATCGATACGCCTATCTTCTGCTTCATTCAATGATTCATCCATTTTTTCGATTAATACCATTATGCGGCGTAATTCAATTTGGTATGTTCTGAGGTCGAGCGGGTCAGTTTCTTTCAGAGTCATTATGAGATGAAATGATTGAAATGGAAAATGCCTATTGGCAGGCCCACTTAAACACAAAGGATACTTGGTAGGCCTATCGATTATTTCATTAATAATAAAGGTTGCCTGATTGATCAACACGCTTTTTACTTTCCAATTGTTATATATCTTATTGATTTTATCAGAAGCCATTTCGCACTAGATATTCTCTTCACAAGATAGGAACACTGCACAGCTAACAGCTCCACTAATTAATCACTATTTCAGTAGTCTCGAGGTACTGTTAAATGTAGAGAAAGCCTTCCACAGGGCTCTGTCACAGCCGCAAAGGACCCAGTCACAAATCAGCAACAGGGTCTTCCAAGTTTCAATCGCTGGAATTGGAAATGTGCTCTGACCTGACTGAGCTGACTCTAAGCCGCGAGCGGATGTTGCAGAGTCGGTGT